CCCATCCAATTTGCATGGAAGGCTGGGGAATTCTGGGAGTTGGAAGTCCACCATGTTTTGCAATCGCCCCCCTAGGGAATTCTGGGAGTTGAAGTATGCAAAGCTTGCAATCGCCCGACTAGGGAATTCTGGGGTTTTGGAGTCCCATCCAATTTGCATGGAAGGCTGAGGAATTCTGGGAGTTGGAATCTGACGGACGCTGTTTTCTCCCCTCGTCCAACAGCGCCGCCCCGCCCCGACCGGCTCCTCTCACCCGCTCGGTCCTCCTGTCCGAGTTGGCCTCGGCCGAGATGAGTCTACACGCCATCTACATGCATGAGGTGAGTCGGGTCGCGGTGCGTCGCGGTGCGTCGCGGGGGGGAGGGCTGGCTGAGAGACACCCCCACCCCACGCGACCGGCGCGCCATCTTTAACCCTCCCTTCCCTCCGCAGCTTCACCAGCAACAAGCCGCCGCCCGCCTCCCTCCGCAGTCTTCGGCCCCAGCAGGTCAGCGGCCGGAGGGGAGGGGACCGTACCGCTCGCGGCTCTCCGGGAAGACCGTCACGCCGCGGGCCTTTCCCCCCCCCCTCCCCGTAACTCTTTTCACCCCTCCCCAAGAGGTGGACCCTTCCCCGTCGGGACAGGAGGCGCCGTTTCCTCCCAACTTTTGCCGTATCCCGGGAGGGGCGCACCCTCCTTACCCTCCTTGAAATGGCCCGGTGAAGAGAATTGGGGTGCGAGCGTCGGGGGGGGGGGGCCTTCTTTTTCTCGCCGCAGCCTCCCCTCGGCGTCCCTTCGAGTCGCGCAGCCAGGAGCGCTCGCTGGAAGTTTGGGAAGAGGAGTCGGACGAGACGACGACGGCGACGACGACGGCGGAGAAGAGCTAGCAGGCGCCGGTCCTCGCTCCTCCTTCCTTCCTTCCTCTCGTGTAGGTGTCTCGACGCTCCCGGCGCCCGGGTGGGATACGCAGGGTCTCTCTCTCTCTCTCCCGCGTCCCGTTGGCTGCCCAGGCGCGTGTCCCAGGATGGCGCTCTCCGCCCCCCCCCCCCCCGCCCCCTTGGGGAGGGTTTGGGGGAGCGGTTGAGAAGCGCAGAGCAGGG